TTTGCTAGCGTTTTCACACTGAGCTTGATTAGTCTGGATCGGTTTACTGTTGTGATCACACCGGTTTGGGCTCAAAATCATCGCAGCTTGTTCATCGCACGACTGTCCTGCGCAGCGGCCTGGACTCTGGCTTCAATTCTTAGTGTGCCTTTTATGATGTTAAGAAAGACTTACACAGAAAATAACAAAACATACTGCCTGCATTTTCAACATGATGAAGACAATTTTAAACTGTATAGAAGGTTAAGCATCATCAGATTTGTGTTTGGCTTTTTGGTTCCTCTCGTATGCATCACAACATGCTACGGATTCATCGCACGCAAGTTAGGCAGGAGTCATTTTCACTCTGGACGAGCGTTTCGCATCATGTTGGCTGTAATCGTGGCCTTTTTTCTCTGCTGGCTGCCGTATCACATAGTGCGTTTGATAAAAATATATAGAGAGGAATCAAGTTGTTTGGCAGCTTTGGCGGTGAATCCGTTGGCCGTCTCTTTGGCGCATTTCAACAGCTGTCTGAACCCCGTTCTGTATGTTTTCATGGGGCATGATTTTAAGAGCAATGTTAAACTTTCTCTAAGACGTGTTTTTGAAAGAGCTTTCTCTGAGGAGGGAACACAAGCGTCACGATCCACACAGTCACAACAAATGCACTCAGTGTAGTGAAGATATCAACTCATTTATTCATTCATTTTTCTGTGCCAGATCTATGCGTTTTCAATCCAGACTCTTTCCACTTATTTTGATATTTTCTTATCTAGTGCAATGACATGTGACTTACAAGTCCAAATACTTTTTGGGTCCACTGTAGTTTGATAACTTACTTATTCAGTGTCTTTTCTGATTAGATATTTTCAGAATAATATTATCTCAGAATAATTGCCAAGATCAAATGCTCTTGTCAAGTATCTTAACAAAAAATGGTTATTTATTTTAAAACTGAAACTTAATATGCAAAACAACATGGCACAAATAGTTTATTTTGACATATGTCCACGCTTTTGCTTTTGTTTCCTTTATTTATTTTTTGGGTCAGGAAGTTACGAAACTCTCATTTAGAGAGCATTCTAAAAAAAAAAAATCTTATTTCTAAAATAATTTGTTCTCAAACATCTGCAATTAAACCGAGATATGATAAAGAAGGAATAGTGTTTTATTTTACAATGTTTTTGCTATTCTTAATTAGTAATGGTCTTTTTTTTTTTTTTTTTGAGCTGTTTTCATCTTTTGAGACAGATGCTGAGGAAGTTAATGGTATGTCGACTGGTAGGATGTGGTCTACTGGCACTTATCTTGATGTCTGTGAATATTCTGTCTTAAATGCAAAATCTACAGTATACTAATATATTACCAGTAATACTAATGTCTTGTGTGTGTAACATCAATCCAGATTGTAATGCTATTATGTATTATGCTCTTTATTCAATAACTTAATAGTTTTGTTAAACTATAGATTTCCTATTCTTTATATTTTAAGCCACATATCACATGACTGCAGAGCATATAATCTCTAAAAGATATTATAGCTGAAGATTACAGAAGTAGGCTGTAGGTTTTAAGTTAGAATTACTGTCTTATGATCATTAAACATTCAAATTGTCTTTTAATTTGGACAAAAGCGTTAGCCTGTTCAGTATGCTATGTCTCTTGTATCACTCCACACTGTATCTTATCATACAATAAAATAATTTAAACCCACATCATCTTTTTATGCAATTTCATTTCGTAGTAGTTTTGTATTGGTGTCCTGATTTTTTTTTTTTGTGAAAATATTGACAGTCCTTTTATTTTTGCAAATAATAGATCTATACTCTACAATTAGGGCTCCAGAAATGGATGTTTTCACTTCAAACACCATAAAGTTAATGTTCATAGTGAAGGATAAATAGAATAGAGATTTAGATTTTTTTTCTTTATTGCTTCTTTACTAATCTTAACCTACTCTGTATTCATGTTTTTACTTTAGGTAATCTCATGCTCATAAGTAAACTAATCAGATGTTTTTATTATTATAATTAAGTAATTTATTAAATTTTTCTTCAGGCATAAATAGGCCTACCTACCTCACCTCAGAAATTCGCGCCATTCCTCGGAGACCCTGCTACTTTAACACTGTTGCCGCGGGTTGAAGTGACTCCAATAACATATTTATCACCTGGAATGCGATTTTAGCAGGGGAACCCCGCCAAAAACTGTGTACTTTACCCCCAGGAACCGATTTTTAACTGGGGACCCCCTCGAAACATGATTGGGCTAGTTTTGAGTAGCGAACCTTGCCTGCTCGCGCGCTGCTGCGCTAAAAAGCTAAAACTCTGACGGACTTTTGAAAATTACCAGTAAATGCACAAAAAGTGGGATGAAACGGTTCTTATGTTGACTAATTAACATTTTGGATCCAGACCGTTGAATTTCACCAAACAGTGAGTAGGCTAATTTACATCACTTTCATATCAGGATTAGCCAAAGGTGTTTACAGTTTTAATGAACGTGTGAGGGGAAATTAGATCTCGTGTCCTGCAACTGGTAACCATTTTAATCACTATTTTTCCATCCCTATTCAATTTAAACGGTCCTGCAGTGTACTAAATGTAGCAATATTACACAGTCTTTTAATTAATACCTCATAAATGCGCATATTTATTTAAACAACAGTGAAAAAAATGCTGTTTAAAATTGTTTTAAGTCACACCACAGCATATGCCAACTTCCCAAAAGCATTAAAACGATCCAAAAATATTTCTCATCGGGCTTTAAAGTTGAAGTTGACGGAGACATTGTACAAATCTTACTATTAGGCCTATGCTATGTAATTTTTACACAGTATAACACAACACCAGCAGAGGTCAGTATCTCCTACCTATCAAAATCCAGAATTTAATGTGCATCACCTGCGACTGTTTAGTCAGATGGACGTGTTTCTCTGCTCAACACATTTAATCTCTCACACAAGTGGCTTCCTCACCATTTCTCATAGATTAGACATAACATGACTCTTTGTTTGTACTGAAAATGGCAGCATTGATTTGGATAAAAGGGTTTTAAAATATGATTGAAAGTCTCCACCAACTCAAACCACCACCAACTATTTGCATAAAGCGTTTGAAATTCCAAATGAAACTTTGCAGACTTAATTACCCACAATAACCTAAAATGATGAATGTTATACATATACTCGTATAAAGCAATGCTATATAGAAAATCTCAACTGAATGATCATTTATATCAAGTGTAAACTATTCTTGTCCAGCTCTCTATACTATAAATACATATTAAATACAATATTACATTGCAAAGAAGCAATAATATATTCTAAATTAACATTATGAATTTCTGTAAACAATTGTATATATATAAATGCTATGTAAACAAAATTGACTTGCAATTGGTTGACTTCATTCCTGCATTTAGTTTTTAGCTTAACATCAGTTTTTTTTCAATTTATGAATTCCCTTCTGCGACAGGAAGGCTTAAAGGGATAGTTCACTAAAAAAAATTAAAATTCTGTCAGTAATTACTCACCCTCATGTTGTTCCAAATCTGTAAGACCTTCGTTCATCCTCGGAACACAAATTAAGATATTTTTTATGCATTCCGAGAGCTCTCCGACCCTCCATAGACAGCAAGGATCCTAACACGATCAAGGCTCAGAAACGTAGCAAGGAGCTCGTTAAAATAATCCATGTGACATCAGTGGTTCAACCGTAACTTTACGAAGCTACGAGAATACTTTTTGTGTGCAAAGAAAACAAAAATAACGACTTTATTCAACAATTCGTCTCCTCTGTGTCACCCTATAGTGCCATTTTGGAGAGTATCACATACGTAAACAACGTATGCAACCTATGTATGCGGATACGTTGTTTACGTTCAGATCAAAGCGTAAATAACATAAACAGCGTATCCGCGTACGGTGCGGCTGACACAGAATAGCATACGTTGTTTACGTATGTGATAGCAAAATGGCGCTATAGGGTGACGCGGAGACGAATTGTTGAATAAAGTCATTCAAGTTATTTTTGTTTTCTTTGCGCACAAAAAGTATTCTCCTAGCTTCGTAAAATTACGGTTGAACCACTGATGTCACATGGATTATGTGATATGACGTCATGCTGTGCGGCGTCTTTTTAAAAACTTAAATTCAACACATAACAAATTATAATACATCTAAAATGTAAAAACATACCATCTACTCCTTTCCTGCAGCGCTGCAGTTTTAAATGTATGTTCTTTTAATTCAGATAGGAGGTCATGCTGTGACGTATCGGTCTGCTGTTGGTCACACGGTATCACGTGATGCGAATTCACAGGCCAGATTTCACCAAGCTTGAACTTTGGAATGCAGCGAAATGCGAAAACTTTTCATACAGGCTTGCGTTTCCGGTCTGATGCATTCACATGCATATGAATGGAAGTCAATGGAACGAAAAGTGCAGTGTGACTGCCCCTTAACGATCCTTGCTGTCTATGGAAGCGTCAGAGAGCTCTCGGAATGCATCAAAAATATCTTAATTTGTGTTTAGCAGATGAACAAAGGTCTTACGGGTTTGGAACGACATGAGGGCGAGTAATTAATGACAGAATTTTCATTTTTGGGTGAACTATCCCTTTAACTAGCTTTACATAGAGTTGGTCATGATGTTTCACAGCTCAACCATGTTTGAAATGTTGGTAAAGCCTAATGAAGTGATAAAGTTGAAGAAGTGGTATAAAGTCTTGAACATTAGAGAAGAAATCATTTGCCAGGATAACTGTGAATCGAATCATCACACCGTGAGTCATGATTACTTATGTAGAGCTATTTATATGATTTTTAAACATTTTATATACTTTAAAGTAATGCTAAAATAACATTTATTTTGTTGCATATTTGTTATCATAATTAAGCTTTGCTGATTTTTAAAAGTTTCTTATCTGACACAACACTTTAAATATGATTCATGATTTTACATTGACAATATGTGATATTAGCAGGATAAACCAGACACTTCCGCTGAATCACAGCAATGGAGGATTATTATGTTATTTTGGAAAATCCGATGAGAATGAGTTCTCTGGTCTTCTACTACCTGACCTTGATCCTCGGCGTTCCCGGGAATGCATTTGTCGTGTATGTTGCTGGATTGAAGATGAAGAGGACTGTTAATACAGTAGGGTTTCTCAATCTAGCGATTGCCGACCTCTTGTGCTGCCTTTCCACTCTTTACTATGTGACCGAGAGCACTTTTAATGAACACTGGCCGTACGGATCCATCATGTGCAAGATTCTCCACTTCATTGTGCTCATCACCATGTTTGCTAGCGTTTTCACACTGAGCTTGATTAGTCTGGATCGGTTTACTGTTGTGATCACACCGGTTTGGGCTCAAAATCATCGCAGCTTGTTCATCGCACGACTGTCCTGCGCAGCGGCCTGGATTCTGGCTTCAGTTCTTAGTCTGCCTTTTATGATGTTAAGAGAGACTTACACAGAAAATAACAAAACATACTGCCTGCATTTTCAACATAATGAAGACAATTATAAACTGTATAGAAGGTTAAGCATCATCAGATTTGTGTTTGGCTTTTTGGTTCCTCTCGTATGCATCACAACATGCTACGGATTCATCGCACGCAAGTTAGGCAGGAGTCATTTTCACTCTGGACGAGCGTTTCGCATCATGTTGGCTGTAATTGTGGCCTTTTTTCTCTGCTGGTTGCCGTATCACATAGTAGATTTGATAATAATGTACGGAGAGGGATCCAGTTCCTCTGTGGCTTTGGCGGTGGATCCGTTGGCCGTCTCTTTGGCGTATTTCAACAGCTGTCTGAACCCCGTTCTGTATGTTTTCATATGGCATGATTTTAAGAGCAATGTTAAACTTTCTCTAAGACGTGTTTTTGAAAGAGTTTTCTCTGAGGAGGGAACACAAATATCACAAACCACCCATTCACAGCAAATGCATTCACTGTAGTGAAGATATCAACTCATTCATTCAGTTTTCTGATTGATTTGTGTTACTATTCTAAAGCTATTTAATTATTCCTTTTCAAAAGTCAGCAAGTCATCTAACTTTTATTCATGATTCCTGTTTTTTTCTATATTGTTTATATATTTTCAGTGATTTGTGATTAACTTTTGCCAAAGTTTAAAACCACCGTAATAGAATACTATGCTATAGTGTCGTCTTCTGTTTGCTGTCAGCTTAGATAAAGTTTGTAATATTTCACTAATAATGGCTTGTGGTTTCTACGCCGAATTCATGAAGAAAAATGAAAAATGAATATACATAATTTAAAGCTTGCATTTGTGAATAAAACTAAGGCTGATGATACATGGGGCAACTTTGGGCAACGTTCCCATCAATAGGCAACCAGGTGAGACACAGGGCTCACGACTGATCTAAAATATCCAGAAAGAAATGTTCCCCATTCTCAATGGGAAAGTGCTCAAGCAACATTGATCAAAAAAAGTTGCCCGGCAAAATTGCTCAAAAATTTGCCCCGTGTATCACCAGCCTAAAACATATTTTATTAGATTTTTTCATATTCTAGTGCTTCTGTCATTTTATAATTTTGCTGTTGTTGTTGTTTTTTTCCCCTCACTTTTGTGTTATATGGACTTATCATAAATTACAAGCAAAGTCTGTTATGTATAAACAGTGTTTTGCATATGAAGTGCAAAAATAATAAAGTTTAACTGTATGTTTATTGGAATGTTCATTAAACATTCAATTAATTTTGAGTAAAGATTGTTCATTATTAGTGCAAATAGTTGCTAACAACAGTTTTCTCTGGGTCAAGTAGCCAAAGCATAATGTTTTCAATTCTAAACATCTTTTAAAAATACATCAAATTCAGATATGCTTTAAAAGCAAAAGCAAAAAATAATCAGTTACATCTTTAGACACATGCACATTTGCTGACAAAACTGGCGGCTGTAACTTTCTACCAAAACAACTTCCCCTTTTTCCTCACGACATACTGTACACTCTTAAAAATAAAGCTTCTGTATTGGCATCAATGGTTCTATGAAGAACCTTAAAAATTCATGGAACCTATCAAATGCAGAAAAGGTTCTTTATAGTCAAAAAAGGTTCTTGAGATTTTAAAAATGTTTTTCAAAATGGTTCTTTTAGGAACCGTTCACTGAAAGGATCTTTTGGGAACCAAAAATGGTTCTTCTATGGCATCACTTTTGGAACCTTTATTTTTAAGAGTGTACTCAAGCGATATACAATATATATTGCTGCCCAGCTCTAAACTGCTAAATGCTAAAAGTTCCTGTGTGTGTTGAGCTGAGAACTGCTGATTGCGACTGATTGTTCTAGTTTTGTCTGTGAAGAATGTGGCGAAATCATCAGCAGTTAAAGAGGTGGTGGAGGGGGACAGAGGAGAGAATTTAATGTTTTGAAGAGATTACGTGAAGCGCTGTTGATCTTGTTGTGGAAATATGAAGTTTTGGCAGTATCGACTTCAGCAGAGAAAGATGAAAGCACAGACTGATACAAACTCTGGTCTGATGGATCTTTTGATTTGCACCATTTTCTCTCTGCTGCCCTGAGTTTGGTCCGATGCTCACGAAGAACATCAGATAACCAGGGGTTAGAAGGGGTAGTCCGTGCTGGCCTGGAGGAGACTGGAGAGAGGACAAATATCGTCTAGACAAGAAGTTAAAGTGGAGCATAAAGTGTCAGTTGCTGCATTCACATCCAAGGAGCGTAGGTTTTGCCTAAAAGTAACTGGAAGAGCGGTTGATGGCACACAGGTAGCAAGATGTAGGTTAAATGTTATGAAGAAATGATCAGAGATGTGTAGGGGTTTTACCAAAATGTTGTCTGCAATATAATTGCGTGTGTAAATTAAGTCAAGCTGATTGCCTGATTTGTGAGTGCATGTGGTGGTAAGGTGTTTGAAATCAAAAGAAGCCAGGAGTAAATGGAAGTCTGTAGCATAAGGCTTGTCCAGATGAATGTTGAACAGTCACCAAAGACTACAAGTGGACTGCCATCCTCGGGGAATGATGACAGCAGCCCATCCAACTCCTCTAGGAAGGTGCCCAGTTGACCAGGAGGGTGGTAAATTACTACAACAGGAAGTTTTAAAGGAGCTGTTACTGTAATAGCATTAGGGGTGTCCCCGACTAAGGATGTACATAGTCAAATCAGAATTGTCAAGTCTTGCCAATAGTCGACTGATAGTCGAATCGTGTGCGTGTTTATTTTCTTTCACACGCAGCACATACAGGTGCATCTCAATAAATTAGAATGTCGTGGAAAAGTTCATTTATTTCAGTAATTCAACTCAAATTGTGAAACTCATGTATTAAATAAATTCAATGCACACAGACTGAAGTAGTTTAAGTCTTTGGTTTTTTAATTGTGATGATTTTGGCTCACATTTAACAAAAACCCACCAATTCACTATCTCAACAAATTAGAATATGG